GCTCCAGTGCCACTTCGTCCACCACGAATTGCACATGAAATCACCAGGGATTGAACCCGAGTCTCCGGTATGAAAATCCAACATTCAACCGCCTGACAGCAATATTCCCAATGACTGAGATACTGCAGGTGTTACACATGATTTCTGTGGAAATCCTTCAAGTATAATTCAAACACCTGGATATAGTTTCAAAGTTTTCTGTCTTCACCTCTGTCCAGATTAACTACTGTTAAACACTTAACAAAGAGGCCTACCCATTGATTTCGAATGATTTAATTCCCTTAGAAGACATCCAAGGACCAACCTGACATACAAAGTTCCAAAGAAAATTGGGAAAGTAAGGCTTGGAAGATATCGAACATTAATACGTGAAATAATAAAAACTATTCTCTGAAATAAGGGAGTAAAGGCTCTTTTCTAACACATAAATCTTCCTGAATCACTCCAACACTTGAATCACTGATTCGAGCCCCACTCCAAGCACGGATGCATGTACGTGTTTTTCAGATTCTGTGTTCTTCTGTTCATGTTCTGTTCTTCTGTGTTATGTTGACATCCAATTCAAGAAGTCCTAACAGATGTCTAAAAGATCCACTATTTCGGAATTCATTTCGATCCCGAACAGTCCATAGAAATACGTAACGGCTGAAAAAGAAATACGCTACAACTAGGTTAATCTAACGCTATGAACATACCCGAAGTTAGTCCTATTTCTTTTCCAATCTTCGTCAATTCGCGATCCATAATCGGTATCATCTTCATTAACCTCACATACAACGAAGAGAGAATCCCTGGGTACACGGAAGTAGTAAGGGTAGTAAAACTGCCTCGTCCAAGCACGCTTTCTGCAGTGTCACTGTCGCCATGATGGAATGCTACACAACTAGCTGCCACAGACTATTTTTCCTTATATCGTAACTCTCGATTCCGAACTTGTAATTTCAATACCAATTTTGTGACTCCATCCGTGTACCGTACTTGGGAGGCAATGTGAATCATCACTGACTTCAGGTTTTAACTGGAACATGCATTAGCTGTATTTAAATAACGGAAATATGTTATCAACATGCTAACTGCAGGGTGCGGCGATTAATCACTCTACATTACGAGGTACTTCTAAGTCAAAATATGCACGTACACACGTACAACAGTACAAATAAGGAAAGATGGACTACATCTTCCTGGTTCATAATTGTTTACATTAAATGAGATCACAACGTGCACCAGTTTCTCCTGCTACATCGTAGGGAATGACGTCATATTTTTCTCCTTATAACCAGCCCCCAATTTATCTCCCAGTTAGTGAAATGGGCAGATCTTTTTAACTGTGCTAACTCAATTCCACCACTGTATATGGATCTCTCTCTCTCTCTCTCTCTCTAGAACATTAGGCATTAGAACAGAATAAATGGAGACATACATCCATGCCTTAAACCGCGCGGCCACTGTGGTCGGCGCATATTGTATTAACTATTCAAAATTAATGGTTCAAGATTTTCTTTAAAAGTTTATGGTCTTTATTTGGGCAAGAAATTAATTGCTTTTAGAGGATCAAGGATTCATTCCCTTGTTCACCAACTCGAACTACATAAATCCAATCACCACATTCATGCCTTCTCTAATATCTCTTTTAATATTATCCTATTATTTATGCCTGAGTCATGTAAGATGTTTCTAATGTACACTGTACACATTATTAGAGATCTTGCAGCTGGGGTACAATTATGCTTGCATCCCATGTCCCTTTACAATGTTCAAGGTAACAGCAATACATGCAGGGCAAATTCTAGACAAATCTGTTCACTACAGTGTTAAACAACAAAGCTAAAATTGGAAATTATGTTATCATTAAGATGGACCCTTTACTTAGGCACAGATTGTGGGGAGAATTCTGAGGTTTTATTAAATGAAAGCTCCTTTCAGATTCTGTCATATATTTCGGGTTAAGGGAATTCAATTACTCTGAAAAGCATGTATCTTATTTCTTTTGGTAGACATTCCTTTCTTAGGAAAGGGTTCACAAAGCCGTATGTGTGCATACAACTCCTGAATCAAATGGCCGATTTTCACGAAATTTCATATGCTATAATGTGTATTAGGGGTGTGACTATTTGACAAGTAGGATGATTGGATTCATTTGCACTTATATACACTCAACTCATAACTACAAGTAATACAGCGCTATCGCTGATCTAAATGCTTTACAGTTCACCATTACAAACTCACTAGTGTTCTCGAATCTTCACTAGTCGTATCCTTGTAACAGATTTCAACACAGTAATTATACAAGTCTCACTGTAACTGCAGCACACATGAAGTCTTATTTGTACAGCCTAATTCCTTTCTTGCCTTCTCTCCTCAATCACTCAACTACCATCTCAAGAAACTCTGTGAACTATTGCCTTAGCTGGCCTGTGATCCTCGTTATATAGCCTAGGGGCGTTTCCATTCTTATAGCTCAACAATACCTCCCAGGTTTCTCGTTTATTCATTGCCACGGGAACCTGTTTACTGAACTGTTGCCTAGCAATTATTGTCTACTGTGGCCCCAATATTCATGTCATTTCACAGTACCTTACACCATTGGAGACCATCCAATCCTCGTGTTTGTTAAGTTCCCACAGTTTATAATAACTAGTGGATGCACAAACTTGTCTGGTGGGAGCAACACTTAACATTGTGTCTTGAAATAATAAACAGTAATATACAACATACAGAACTGTTCTTAGGCACTTTTTTATAATATAAAATAACACAGTGGTTGCCTGAAATCTACATTTAACTTTTAGAAGGATGGCGCTATTTTATGAGCCACAGGAGCTACAATTATACATATGAAACTCGGTAGGAGTTGGACCAAAAATATGGCGACAATGCAAAATTGTGAGGTTATGGCTTTCTAATTTAATGAGGGCAAAATCGCTATCAGTAATAAAATTATCCCCAAAAATACTACTTCATTACCTTATTGTCATCATCGTCCTGGTCATCGTCATCATCAACCTTAATTATCCTATACGTACTATGCACCAGAATACCTCACAGGAACAACTGTTTTGTCTTATGTGTGTTGATTTTTTATTTTCTCGTGCTATGTAACAGGCTTTGCAGTTGCTTAGTTAACATTTTAAAAGAAAATTATTCACTAATTATCATCATCAGCAACAATTTTACAACTGAAAAATATTAAAATATGACTCCACTTTCGGTCATATGCCCATCTGTGCATGAGTAACAAGCAAACCTAAAAGCTAAACTGCATTTCACTTTCAGACTATAAATACCCATTAACTAAACATGACAATAACAACAAAAGATTCCTACAACTAAGGCGTGTGTGCTGGAAAAGTATAATTTACAAATTATGCCAGAACTTGACAATAAGATGACTGGAAAAATGCAATTCATAACAGAATACACAGTTTTAAAATGCATTCTTTGCACCTTACTTGAAGCTGGTCACAACATACATAAAAACTGCTTACATTCAAAATGTACTAGAATTGTACATTAAAATAACAAGGCAAATCTAGTTTTAAGACACCCCAAAGTCTCTTTCTCCTACAGCTCATGTTCCACATATTTCTGTCCAATGAATATTTATGCACAGAAAGACAGAAATTCACGTAGGTCTTCATGTAAAGTAATCACTAAACATGTCAGATAGCTGCCTCCGTAGTCTAGAGGTAACGTTCCCACCTCATGACTCGTAGTACGTGGGTTCAAATACCTGGCGAAGGTCGTCGAATTTTTAAGGGCAGAAAAATTCAGAGAACAAGTCCTCCGGGAGAGACTTTAAGCCGTAGGTCGCGTGTCGTAGCTTTACAGCATGTAAAAGAACCTCATATCTCCTAAAGAGGTCACTGAGCCAAATTACGGGCGTTTCCCACCCAACAGCAGTCTCTAATACCTCTGGTAGATGGGGAAAGCATTATAGATACCTCTCAGCTAGTAGAGCTGGTCTCGCTGGCTGGGCGGGACTGATGGTAAGCACCAGTACCGGTAGGATATAGAGACTGGTAGAAATCATAGAGGGAAGCACAATGGACCAATATAGGTCTAAGCGCATGGGGAAACCCACCTTCTCTAATAACTAACTAACTAACTAACTAACATGTCAGATAAAAAAAATGACCAATTCGGCACTTTCTCATAAAATTTTCCAATATCCAATTTCGTGAAAATTCATTTAGTTCTTCATTTCAAACACAGTGATATAGACCAAGCCTATATGCACGCACTTCATGAAGAATGCCAAGAACACAATAAGTACACACAAAAGTACTATCTTCTGGGATGTGACATCATATAGCCCAATAGAACTTTAATAACATTTCAGGGCAATGTGCTACCTCCATTTTCAAGCCCAAAGAGTAAATTGTGCATGCAACAAGCATGCCGCATCTGTAATCTGTACATTTCTCTGAAACGTCAGTAAACTTCTACCAGACTACAGCCAACAAAAATAGTACTCCCAGTCACTGCCATAAGAACCTAAAACCAAATAATGGATGCTAGAATCTCCACAGTAATGTAATTTCAAAACCCTTGTACCATGAAAATATGATTATTTCAGATTTTAGTTTTAGCTTTTCAACCTCCAAATTTTTCAAGAACTTACACATCCTCCTGACCAGATTTCTTCATGGTACACCTAAACCACTGCTACTTTTCTTATTCTCTGGACTTGGCTGGCAAGGTTTACTACCATTTCAACTTACATTCTTCAAAAAGGTACAAACATTCAGATACTCAAAGAACATGTATCATTTTTTTATTGCTAGTGGGGTGGGACTAACTCCCTTGTACTGCGGCCACTTCTGGCCTATTGTACCAGCCCCAGATGATAGGTGAGGGTGACTGTGGAGCAATTGGTGGAATTAAGATTGGCAGGGGAAACCAAAGTACTCGGAGAAAACCCGCCCCAGCACCACTTTGTCCACCACAACTCCCACTTGACCAGACCCGGGATCGAACCCGGGCCACAGCGGTGAGAAACCAGCGACTAACCGCTTGAGCTATGGTGCGGCCTGAAAGAACATGTAACGTGAAGTATGTGCTTGTGTGAACACACACAGAAAAACTGGAAACAAGTATAATGGGGTTGGTCCCATGGGCATGCTAAATAGACACAAGTATACGGGGTTTGTCCTGAAAGGGTTAATAACCAGTGTTTGTATCTCACACACGATTAATGCTGGAATGAATGGAAAATTATGTACTTGTCCAAAATTTATTTTTTGTATTTTACATGAGCTGATAAACCTAATTCCAAGTCCAAACAGATTAGTGTAGAGCAACTCTAGACTAGGCTATGCCAAAGCTCAGGCAGTGAGTCACCAGCTTCACATCAAGGAGGTCTGAGTTCAATCCCAGAGTAGGTTATGGTTGCAAAACTGGTCCTGCAGCAGCATCTTCTCCTGGTACTCTGGTGTCTCCCTTGTGCAGTATTATTCCACCAATGCTCCATTCTTTCCTCTATCATCTGGTGCTGCACAATGAACACATCTGCAAGCTAAGCACCAAGGGACTCAAGTTCACTGCACCACATGAACAACAGTATATAATATCAACACTCTAGACTTGTACTTTAGAAGTACTGGTTTGAATTTGTCTGGCTACTGACTATTATGGGTATGGTTTTCTATGGTCATCCTTGGTATCTCCAGCAAATATCAGGATCATCTCTTCCAAATACTTACCTGTACATCTATCAAGACTATCTTCCTACTGCATTTAACAATCTACAAGCTGAAACATCATCACTAAAAAATTTAAAACTGAAAAGGCTCTACTAAAAGTAACATTCCAGGCTTGTACTTGGGAGGTGGTTAGTTCCAGTCTAGGCCAGAACACCAGCTACCCTGACTGAAATTGTTTGTTGCTTTCCCCAGTTTACCCAAGCAAATGCCAGGATAGTATTACGATTAAGTCATGACCCCTTCCATCAATGTCTCTTCAAATTCATCACACATTTGTCAACCTGCCACCTGACTTTACATAGTCTTGTCATTGAAACAGCATCATTGAAGAGCCCATGGAAAAAGAAATCCAAGAATCAATCACACATGTGTTACCAGATTTATAACAGATATCAGCTGCATAATCACAAAATGCAGACCAAAATATGTTCTTAGTGCACAGTAAGTTAGAAAAGATCTATTACTTTGTTTTAATTCAAAATGAATAAGATTATATTTTGTTTCCTGTGGCAGTATTATGAAGTGACCTTCAGTCCTTTCACGAGGAAAAAATATAACATAATGGCAATCCAGACAAAAAAACTAGACTAAACCTTAAAAACACTTCCTAGTAAAGTCTTCAAAGTTGAACTGTGACTATAACATATCTTACAGACTAAAAGGGGTACGGTTGCTGTATGCCTGCTTCATGACATAAATACCTGGTATTAAGACAATTTTCAGACAGGCCATGAATTCTTCTGTTTGAGAACTTATGTTTCAAGGTAAAGAAAAGCAGTGTTCTCTCCTGATGGTATGCAATGGTATAAAGAATGGGTCTCTTTTCTCTTTAAGGAAGGAAAGTATGCTGAAAATGTGCTTCAGGATGTCAATCTTGCTTCTGAGTACCTCAACCTCTTTATCCCAGAAAAAAAAAAAGAAGAAAAGCACTCAAGATAGATACGGTAATGAAATTCATCCAAACCTGGAACACCTTTTCATCACACCACACAGAAAAATTAAATTTTTAAACTGTATTTTAACAAATTTTCTATCAAATAGATACAATTATATTATCAGTTTTCCACCAGTTTATAGTAAAACTATTGTATCTGAGAAACAGAGGATATTCCCCTACAAAAATTTGCCTTGTTTCCATACAGATTGAAAGTTTAAGTTTTGATATGTCTATGTGAAGCAACAGGTTTATTTTATATCATGCAACAAACCTTCCACAGTACTGAATGTCTCCACCTGTTTTCATGAAACACGAACATATTAACTACAATTCTCTTACTAACAAGAGAAATTAGCACTGTCATCCTGCAGTAACAAGAAGAAGAGTTTTTCCAAATACATGTGTTTTTTGTCTTGGTAAAAATTGTGCAGTACATTTTATACTGAGCAGACATAACCTACATCAGAGGGCAACAGCTGGTAGCTGGCCAACTTCACTCATCCAGAGTAACAACATTATTATGACACAGATATCACATATCATAGTACAGTTCACACATTTCCTGCAAACAGCAGCAGCAATGATCCAGGAAAACATACTCTCTCAGTGCCAAAAATGGCTCAAAACAGTAGCCCAGTTTCCAAAATATTGTGTCTTTCTTAAAATGTCAACCAAATGTAGCATAATACAAGTTGCAAAGATGCATGAAATATTCATGAATTTCTCTGTATACAACAGACATGAGCATCTGTGTTTCCAATCGACTTCATTTGTGGTAATGTTTGATTACCAATGCCTGACTGATGTGCATGTCTACAGGAATATTTCAATGCCTGAGAATTTATGTGTTAATAGGTATCTGCACTGTATTCTGAAGTAGAGCACACTGGGAACCTTCCAGGCCTTACCTCAACTATCGGCTGGAAAAACATTCCACTTTAACACTCATTGATCTATAAATATTGTTAGCTGCTAGGCCTGGGAACAGTGAACTCCATCAAGTCTTCTGCAAGAATCACTGTACAGGGACAGCCTCGTACAGTCAGCTCTTGTTGAGCTTCCTTAAGTAGTACATCCACACACAAGTCCTGCAACATTAAAATCAATATGTGCAATATTATGCTTGATTCCAGCCTGTTTTTATTTGCCAAATATCTGGAAAATGCATTCAATCCTTTGCCTCTCATATTTCTATAATCACAAATAAAAACCAATCCACACATCCTGATTCTGGAATACATTTAAAATTAGGAACCAGTAAACATCTTGAAGAGTTTGATTTGTTTCATTCTAGTCCGTCACACTAACAATTACAAATATAAATCACTCCGTCCAATGTGACCTGTAAGTGCTGTGCTGTTTTCACAGTGAAAACAGCACAGCAGCCACGAGCAAAGCCTGGACGATATAAAGAACCTCCACATCAAGATAGCCAGGTGGCACATTATCTGCCCCATATAAGAAGGACGATGGGAGGACGAACACGAGCCTGCATGGTTTACGAATTTTAATTATTGACAATAAAAAAAAATTAATTAGCATCAAGAAATTTTATACAATTTTATAAAAAACTTTACATTCCCAGGAAATTGCTGTGTTTGTGAAATGTTCTATTTTGTGTACTATGTATTGTAGCATATAAGCGTACGTACTTTATGTCTAAACAACTTATGTGATGGTGGTTTCCTATTTGTAGTGATGTTTGCCCTCTGAAGATGGTCCACAGAGACCGAAACATGTAAGGGTGTTAAGTTTTCATGTAGTAAAAAACTTACAGGTCACATTGGACGGAGTGATTTATATTTGATCTTGAAGAGTTCTATCTCCTGGGATACAACACTGTAGTACCTAATTTCCAGGGTCAAAGGGTTAGCCACACAAAAACCAATCTGAATCAGACAGCAAACACTCTTGCTTAAGTCCCACATCATCACTGCATGTGTACAGCATGTAAGAAATCATGGTTTTGTTGGTAATTTTAAATACTAAATGACCTTTACAGATATCTGCTTATAAAGAAATTTGTCACTGTTTTCATGCTTATATATTTCTAGTTCTGCAGTATTTAGCTGTGGGCCTTTTACAATGTTTTGGATAGTTTCTGTCAAGTTACAGCTATGTTTTTGCATTATTTTACACAATACTCACAGTATCATTCACTGGTACTGTCTTATAACGCTGACTGAAGTGACATAGGATAAGAACTCGTGCACCAATTCTTTCAGCATACTGAGCAGCCATTTTTGGGGTTGAATGACCCATGTCAATAGCTTTCTCCTCCATACAGTTCTCTAGTGTTGCCTCATGCAATACAACATCACTGGACCTGCAGGAAACGTTTCGCAGAAACATCCATGGTTAAACTGTTGTCAGTCTACAGAAAATGCAATTCTAAGAACTGACAATGGGACACTTGAGTACAGCTGTCCATTCATCCTAACTCTGGAGTGTGCTGGTAAAACACAGCTCCACTAAAAGCAAATGCTTTCTATTTTAATTTACATGACTGACTGACATATGATTAGGCTTGACATAAATCTGCTACAGTTATAAGTAAACATCTCATAGAATAGTCAAATCAAAAACAAAAAATTAGCCAAACTTAAAACCAAACAATTCTAAACAGTGGTACTGACAATTCATGCAACCCAAATATGGCTCAGTCTCATGTCAGAGGTGGACCCACTAACAGATAAAAGGCTCAACACTAATAGAAACATAAACCAACTCAATGGCTATGTGTCTTCTTCAGGCAGCCGACAGATCACGGTCATGAAAATCCCTGCTAGATCTCAAGTTCTAATGTGACTATGAAGTGTATAATCTTCCCAGCTGTAATGGCAGGCAGTTTGGTAAGTGCCCACAATTTCAGAGCAATGCAGCACCTCCATCTTCAAGGTCAAAGAGAAAGAAATCAGTAGAACTGACAAGAAAAATAACTGACATAGCAGGGTTCTGTTTGCGGCCTGCTTCGTGCTTCATTCTTGCTTGGCTTACTCCTTAACCCTGAAAATGGAAGACATATCTTCCTCTGAAATTTCAGAATCCCCGCCCCAAAAAAACATAGTGCTACTACTCATAAGATCATATTATTCAGGAAACTCCGTATTTTTACAGAACAAAGAGGTTCATTACAAAATTCACATCTTCATAGCCTTCTTCTCTAAGATCCATAATATTGTGACATGTCGCGCTAGCTGGACGCCCCCCCCCCCGGAGCTGACGCGCCAAGCGGAGCCGAAGTGAGCCGAAGTTAGCCGAGTCCCAGCATCCTGGTAGCTATGCAACGCGAGTCAACAGCGGTGACATCACCAAGGGATACCGTGATTGCTAGGCAGCAGTAAACAACTCCGGACAGCGTTGCTAGCAACACGGCACCAGACAACAATGGTGCCTATTACATGGCCATATTCTGTGTTGTCCGGAACGAGGCTACATAAGGAGCAGTGAAGGTTATTCACAGTTAGTTCTCAAGGCAGCCACCTACAAGTTAGTTCTGAGTCAGTTCCGAGCAAGCCTACGAGTCAGAGTGTGTGATCAACAAAGTTCTCAGTTCACAAGTTACGAGTTACGGACGTGTGTGTGAGAATTAGTGATAGTTTGTGATAACCAAGAATTAATTGGGAGTGTGTAACACAGTGACACTTGTATAGCTCCCGTACTGTGAAACGTGTAGTCTACTGACGACAGAGTGATTTGATTTGCGAATAGGGTTATAAATCGTGAAACCCCGCAACTGTGTGATAATTAATTGTAGCCGAGATTTTTAGGTTGTTAAATAAACCAATTAACAATCTCTACGGCGTATTCGGTAATGAAACATGTTACAATATATTAGGGTACAAGGGCCATTTGGAAAGTAACATCAGTTTATTTTGGGCAACTAACATACGAGCAAGGGAGAGCTCTGCCTTGCAAGGTTGTGTCACATAACTCACTGCCTTGTAAACCGTCATATTACCAGTCACCTAGTGATTGTTCTTGTCTCTACAGAGTGACTTACGATGTGTCCTGTGATTGATAATCCCACGGCCTGCAAAATTCATGCACTCATCTGTTTTCTTTGTGCTAAAAACAATGAGTGAAGGAACTGTAAGGCAATGGTGTAAAATGGTCACAGACGGGCAAACAGACGTTTGTGACAAAGAGCGAAGTAGTTGGCCATCTGTAGTGAGTGACGTGAAAAACGGTGCTTCACAGTATCAGAATTTTTGTGTGAACTTCCACAAACTTCACACACACTGTTCTCTACAAGGTTATCACAGTCTGGCTAAGCTATCACAAGTATTTTGCAAGATAGGTTCTGAAAATTCTCATGAGTACACAAAACGCAGAGAACTACATTGGCCTTCACTTTTTACAGGGATTTTACCAAGGTTTCATTTGTGAATGATGAAACCAAAGATCAGTCAAAGCAGAAAATGTTCAAACAAATGTTGTCTACTAGAAAGCTGATGGCAACTGCTTTCTGGTAGACAGGAAAGGAGTGCTGATGGTGGAATGCATGCAACAAGTGACCACAATCAGAAATGTGTTGCAAACACTAGAAAACTGCTCAGGATGACTGAAGAGAAAAGGCGTGGAATGTTGACATCTGGCGTAGTGCTCCTCCATGACAATGCGAGTCCACACACGAGTACTGCTACTTGCATTTGAACACTGATGGAACATTTCAACTGGGAGTTGTTTGACCATCCTCCTTACAGACCTCATCTCGCTCTGAGCAACTACCATCTGTTCACCTATCTGAAGAACTGGTTGGGATCACAGCGCTTCAACAGTAATGAGCTAATAAGGTGTCAGAAAGTGGCTGAACTCACAGGCAGCAGACTTCTTTCACACAGGCACACACAAACTTATTCCCTAATATAAGTGCCTCAATTCTGGCAATGACTATATTGAGGAGTAGCTATGTACAAATAAACTTATTCATGTCTCATGCAGACTTTATAACATCTTATGAGAAAGTCTACATCAATAAAACTGGACTAACATTATGACGTCATTCCATTTATGACACCAACTTGTTATAAGCTCAAAATAACAATAAATCCAAACTGAAGACTTTATCAGTTCACCCAAAAACACTTTTAATTGAATGGCTAAAACAAGTTGAGTATTACTAACTGAACACACATAAGATGTATGTTACAGACATACACCATATGGATAAAATCCAAAAAATACTAATTATAATAGATAGATATAACAGATTATAACATAAAGCAGCACTGAATAGCTCATACAGCTCTTTAATCAAGATCAAAGACTCAAATAATTACATTTTTCAGCTTATAACTAAAAATACACAACTGATATAATAATCTTACCCTTATTAAAGATGACTTCTGCACAAGGGAACAAAATCAGAACCTCATAAACAGCAACAGCAACTGAAGTTATAACATAAAAAAGTTACTCACTGAGCTAAATCAACCATTTTAAATGAGTCAGACGTATCACCAAGAATAGTAACTCTTCTTCCACGTTTAGGAGGGCCCAACACATCCAATGGGTCCAGCTGAAGTTTTGTTAAGATAATGTATATTGTTCATATCAGTGAAATACTTAATATAAATAACTAACTCCACAAAACAAAGTCCTTCATGAGAAGGTGACAGCAAGAAAAGTTCTAGTAGATTCTGTCTCCGGAGACAGAATCCAGTCTCCAAAACGTTGCGTTTTGAAAAATAAACAGGACTGTTTTTAGATAAAGCAAAACGATGGATACTGTCCAAAAACACAATATTCAATATTTGTAGCATTTACCAGAATAAAGTACCAAGAATGTCTGTACTTCTGCTCCACAGTGAGAAAGTTCACAAAGCAGCTGATATGCTTGCACTGATCACTTATGCTGCATCCAGCATTAAGAATGGAGATCACTGTCTTACGAGCTCCTACCAGTAATTCCAGTGTAACCAGACATGACATAAAATATTCCATTTTATTTCAGTCTATAATGTTGGTTGAGGGGCTATGCTATAAGCCAGAAGGTCGCGGGTTCAAGTCCCGATGAGGTCATTGGATTTTTTCAATTGACCTAATCATTCCAGCTGCACCATGGTCCTGGGGTTCACTCAGCCTTTAACAGAAATGAGTACCAGGAATTAATTAAATAATTTTCCTGGGAGGTGAAGCGCAGCCAGCACATAAGGCTGACAACCTTACCACCATCTTTGAGCCGCCTGTCTAGATAATTTGGGACCCTTAACATCTCACAACCCTATGGGCCTTCACAGCCTGATACAGGGATAGCTTTACTTTTTTTTTAATGTAGATATGTAGGAACTCAAATGCATTGTTTAGTTTGGCCTTACTGGTTACATGTAGAACTTAAAAAAATTAACTGCATTTCAGGATTATTCCTACATAACCATACAAGGATACAGTTTTACCAGATGGTAAGGTAACAGCTTCACCCTTTTTGATACGCGCATACAACGGACCAGGGGGTACTCCTAGAACTCTGAGATGATCAGCATCCAGCTTCCCTGGTTCATCTTGTTCTGTGATGACAAATCCAAATGAGGGGATGCTGTGCATTACAGCACCTGCCTTCACACAGACACTCTGCCCATCAAACCTGCAGCGCAATCACAAATGTAAAATTAGATCTACATGAAGAATTGATTCTCAGTTCCTGCATTTTTAACAACACACTTCAGTTTATTCAGTTTATTTACTTATATACTCAATTATTTTATTATTTCTGTGAAAAATTTTATGAAATATGGTATTTAGAGTGACAATAAACTTAAGAGAGAATGGAGGAGTGTAAAAATGATTATAACTTAAAGAGGCAATTCCAGTATTAATAAATTTGGAGACCATTTCAGCAAAAATGTATAAAAATTGATAAAGGAAATGTAGTACCTGATTTATTTCAACCGTCTTCCAGTGCATACACTCATCTATCTCACTCCTCTCTCTCGCACTACATGTTTCGGCACAAAAGTGCCATCTTCAGGTGCTTATTCGATTTACGATAAACTAGTTCATTGCATGCCTTGCTGTCTTCAAATTAAAATAACTAAAATATATATTTATCACATATATTGATAAATATCAAATATTAAAAATATTAAAACTGTTCAGGATTCTTCATCCCTACGTCGTATCTCACTACGCGAGTCACACCTATCCTCTTCTGTCGGAGCACTCTTTCTACTTTCGTGTGTGTATTGTGCTCTGTGTTGTGTCTTGCTCCTGTGACTGCATGTGTAGTAAATGATGTCATTCCAACTACACCCAAATTTTATCAGTATTCAAGCAAATATAGACTTGCATTTTCATAATGTTTGAACTCTCTCACTGCCAAAATATCAATTGCTGTAACAATTAACTAATAAACTCCCAAAATTAGGTCTTCCCTGAACAGTTTGTAGCCATTCAGATTTTTAACAAAATCCTTGTTAAAAATCAATCCCAAATATCAACTGACTAATTCCATGGAGCATTGAGAAGCCAACAGCTGCTCAACAACGCACAAAATTCCCAACAATTTATGGAACTTGAAGCTTCATTATCACGTTGACAACAGCCTGCCACTGGCCCTTATCCTGAGCCAGATGAACCCAGTCCACCTTCCCACCTTATTTCTTTAAGACGAAATTTAATATTAGCCTCTTGACCATACTGTCTTCATAGGAGCCTCTGCTCTTCAGGTTTTCCTACCAAAACTGTCCCTCCCTTGCTTGCTACACGTTCTACCCATCCAATTCTCGATTTTCTTCATTCTAATATTTAGCAGCAGGTATGAGTTACGAAGCTCCTCACTGTATGCTTTTCTCCAGCCTCCTACTATTTATCCCTCTTGGGTCGAAGCATCCTCCTCAGGACTCAGCTCTACCCTCAATCTATGTTCTACTGTTAATGAGAGAGACCAAGAATCACACCCATATAAAACTAGGAAAAAATTTATAAATATGTGTATTTTAATCTTCACATTTCTTGATAAGATAACAAAATATTCTGAACTGGATGGCAGGAAGCATTCCCCACGTTTAATCAGCTCACATACCAAAATTCTATAGTACAGGATGATCATAAAAATAAATGCCAAGGAATGCACTACACAAGCTGCTCTATACTCATTACATACTTTAAAAGCAAAAGTACTCTGATGGCTAAAAAGTATATTTCGGAACTTACAACTTCTGCAGTTTTACTTCTCTATAAGTAAAACATTCCGGTCTAGAAAACCGAGATTAACGGCCGCGGGGATTCGTTGCACTGACCACGTGACAGCATCTATCCGCTAAAGTTGGCACTAAATTCACCGGCAAGCAGCAGTCACTCAGTTGGTATAGTTTGCTTGCAGACTAAAGCCACGGAGTGTGTTATAAGTAAAACATAATTATGAGGGAACCATTTCTTTATATTCTTTAACATATTGTATCTGCAATCACAGAGTAGCTGCATATGACTGCAAACTAGCAATGAAATGCATGCTGATTATAAGCTATTAAATGTTTTATTTTTCTGCACTACTAACACATTCCAAGTGAGATCACAGGTAGCATTGATATCCTTTCCTTGTTTTTCCTGTGGATGAAGGCTCCCAGTTGCAAGGTTATCAGCAGGCCATGTATTCCAGTCTTCAGGATACTGCTCTGCTACAGGAATTAGTTCATGAACCTGTGCAACACAACATTTATCTATAATGACGGGAACACTAACTGCAAGGCATTATTAGTAAACAGTAATACTGAGTTCCTCACACTCACTCATCCAAGGCACAACACCACTCGCAACAAGTTTTATTGCATGAGAAAAATTCTACTGTGATTCAACAATAACAGGTAGCGAAAAATGTTAATAAATAAATATCTTTACAAAAGTATACTTTGATATGAAAACAGATCACTTATGCATGACAAAAAATATTTAAAAACTTCAACAAGAGAAACTTTAATTAATTAATTAATAACAATAAATATTGTCTTTAATTTATTTTAACTTAATATATTTTAATTTTGCATATGAACTACATCTGGTGTTATTACTGTAAACAACACATATTACCTTCCCCTAAAATGTAAACACTGACCAATGTAGGAAAAAAATATATATAAAAAAGTATAGTGTGAATGTAAAATGATTTACCTGATGATGGCTTTAAATGGCCAAAGTACAGATGTTGTAAAGTAAAAAAAAAAATGGTATAAATTTACTCAATTTATATAGGAATTGTATTGACTGAACCTCTAATAAATGCAAGGTATTATGTGTTGAATCAAACATGAATAATACCAAAAAGTTGCAGATTTACGATATAGTAAAGCCTTATATTTATATTCCCACAATGTATACATGTTCTGATAATTACTGCTAGTTTACTCTTGGTCTCTCCTTAAAGCTCATGAAGTTACCATTTCAGTGTTACATCAGGAGTCATGAGAATATTACATCGGACTTATTCGCTACACTGAGTTTGACTCCAAAGGCACTGGGTAGACCATAGTGCCTTTCATGTACAGACACATGCAAAAATCAGGAAAAATCTGTGAAATGGTGACAGCAACATGTATCATAAAGTAGTCCCTGTGCTTAAATATGCACCACACCATAAACATGTCCCCAGTTCCCACTGGCCAGAAGCCTGTGTGAGCCCCAGAGCCACTCTAGACACTGGGTAAGGGAAAGGGAAGGAGAAGGGGGGAGACAGAGGAAGAGCAATAAATCTGTCTCTGCCAGGAATCAAACCATGATTCACTTGTTGTCCAGCCCATAGCCTAGTCACTATACTGACTGCAGCAGCAATATACATGTTAAAATGAAGGAGCTATTAATGTATTGTGTGTTGCAGCTTATAACTGCAGGGTTACAGACCAGCTATTTTCATACTTTATTTTGATGAACTAAACTGTCACCAGTGCATACTTCACACTAGTGGAATAAAAAGAAATTTAACATTGCACTTAAAAAAGGAAATCCAGGAAGTGAAAGACATGAAATTACAAAATTACATACTATAAATGAAATCAAATCTCAGGCTATACAAAGGATGGTGACCTTACATGGAGATCAGTGATGGTAGTAAAGGAAGCAATTATAAAACCTGAAAACAAAGCACATGAAATGGACCTTATAAACGTTATAATGAATCGAACTGAAACTAGGCACAGGGAAATTATGACTAAGTCTGCAAATACTCAACTTCTTAGTGTGATTATTTATGATTTCAAGAAAGTTACAAGATTACACTTCTCAGGTCACTTCTATTAGGTTCAGCAGATGTATGATATGTAAGGCAGTCTATCTATTGATATTGTTTGTCTTAATTTAGTGGAAAAAACCATAAAACTACTATTATACATACAACATATTCATAAGTAAGAGCTGATCTTGAAAGGATCAGGGTATCTCTGACAAATTTACGCAAACCCTGTGGTCCATATATTTCCAAGGTGAAGTCACTCCTGTCAGGTACCATGTTCCCTAGAGTACACATCAGTCCTGGTAAGCCAAATAACTGTAAAACAACACACACAGTAAGTGATTATTCACTGAATGGTCACTCATTTATTCCCATGGTGCAACAAATCTTTATGAGTCAAACATAATTTCCACTGCTGTCTGTAACATGAATCACTTTCATTTTAATGTTTGGCTGTACTAATTAAATATATGTTCATTTCATAGCCAGTATAACAAAGAAAAAGAAGACAATAGAATTACACATGTACAGAGTGAAGACCTAGATAAAAATTAAGCAGATACTAGAAAAAGGATTTTGAGCATAAGAGAGTAGCCCTCCATGCACAAATGGNCAATGTCAAACATATAGAAGTAAATCATAATAATATTTACACCACAAATAAAAATGAGTGTATAAAATTATTTACAAGATATATATGTGTAGTGAATTGAATACTGCATTATATCGCTATTCTTACATGATCTCCATGCAAATGCGTGATGAAAACTTTGGTAATACGACTCGGGCGCAGGGGAGACTTCTGCAGTTGAACTTGTGATCCTTCACCACAGTCAAATATCCACACACTGCCATCTGTTGGAATAAAACATATTCACTTCAGTTTCTTAACTTTATAGAATAAGCAGCCTCAAGTTCTGTATCACCCACAATAGAATGATGGCTCCAAACCGATCTCATAAAAAGGGAAGACAAATTTCACTGTCTAAATTAACACCTATCTATTTCTTATGGTATATATACACCTAACCATTATAATTTGTTTCACTTCTGCCATGAATGTGGGTGCAAGATGGCACCCTTCAAAGCCCTATGTTACAGCTTATTTAATTTCTCTGCACACAATATTTCACTTATGTACACAAAAATTCTATTAGGTCTGGTTATCTGACCTCCTGCGGTTATGTTGGGACTGGAAAACACTAGAATCATTATACAAAATATGAAGTCTGCAGACGACTGTCAACCTCTATGAATTTGGTGTTCCCACAGCAGTGATTATGAAGAAAACTATCTTGTGGGAGATAACATCATTTGTACCTTGCTAGGCTTACCCTGAACATGGATGCAGTATGTTCGCCCAAAGTCAGTGCCTTCTACCATATTACATGCTGTCACATCCCAGAAAAATGTACTCTTCAGCTGAGAATCAACTCTGTGCGATAAAAAACTTTTGGACTTATTGGCTTATTTTAATGAAACTCAGTACGAATATCACACTTCTGGATGCCAAGTGCAATCTATCTATTGTCAGCAGCATGGTGACTGTGCAACTATGTGCAACTGTGACCTATAAGCAACATTCATGTCATCAACAGTACAAGTTGTCCCTGTGCTTAACTAATTATGCCCTACATTATGAAGATGTGTGAAAGCGTACAGATCCATGCTTTCTTGACCTCGGCACTAGCTGGACGCGAGTGGTCAGCTTCACGCCCCTGCAGCTTTAATCTTGGGAAAAGAGCCCACTGTACCCTTTGGACAGGAACCTGGGTTGGCCCCGCCAGTATGGAAAAAGTGGAGATGAAAAATTCTTGACCTTACCGGGACTCGAATTCCGGCCCCTCTGTCATCCACACCACTACCAGTCACTATACCGACCACGTTATCCCAGGACCCTTGTCACTGACTGTATTCTCCTAATACTCAGCATAGATATATTTTCCTGGGTATAGTTACGTGTATGGATACTGCCCTTTAAAAATGATAATCAGACTGGCGTAATTTCTATATAGAGTGTCGTGCAAAATGACGAAATCCGTGTCTTCCATCAGAAAAATACGTAGGATTATAAAAGTTTACAAAGCAATATCTGTGTGCTGAATATTACGATCATGGAGCCTGGGGCGAAGTTTTTAAATTATATTTAAAAATTCTGGCTACAAAGCACCTACACCAATAGAAACATAAATAACATATTTGCGATCCTATGGCATTGAAGTTACACTGACTGCTGTACGAAAAATTATCTTTTTACAGACAATTAGGCGTGGGAATTTATTCATAATGGGAGTACCTTCGAATCTAATGGCTGTGCATGATACGCTTCTACTAGAAGTGGGATAGCACGACGCTGTTCCTAGGCAAATTATCTGCATAGTCTTATTTTGAGGTTGCCTCCATTAATTAATCATACTGAACTTGCCGACATGAACAGTTCTTCAAAATACTATGATGTACGTTACACTAAATGTTCAAGTACATGCGAATGCATAACTTATACATTTCCAACCCACAGCTCTTTTACGCCTATTTCACGTTCGAACTTCCTGAAATTTATATCGGCTAACTTCCGCAACATTACTTTCTTAGAATACATATGTCGACATATGTCGTCTGCATATACACTTCTACAGCCGACTTTAAACTACTGCATTAACTTCTTCGACCGCTCGAACACTACGATCGCACTTTCGATATATGTCCTCGATTTTTCCGTGTGTTATCCTGCTCTCCCAGGACTTCCGTGAAACTCAAACGTTATTGGCGGGAAACATGGCCGCCATGACTTTTATTTAACTGGGAAAAATAATTGTACCGTTACGCGTACCTTACTGCTGCCATCTCTACGTACACTTCCCCTAACTGAATACAAAATGGTCGCCAGAGCCGAGAGAACGATCGGTAAAAATGTATACTATTTCAGGCCGAGTCCTACAGTACAAATAAAGTCATACAGTTTCTTTTACATCAGTCTAACACGTCTAACACCTCCTTATCCAAATGCACTGGACATTGTGAATTACAACATACATAGAATACTCTTGTTTAGGTAAGCTGACGGTGCGGAAACTTCCATCAGATATACCTATATTCAGATTCATAACTTTGCTCATAACTTGAAAGCCACGCAGAACATAGTTTTTTGGGTTACATCCAAGTATTATAAATTGTCTTATCCTGTGCCTATCCCTGCGGTTTATTCTGATTTGGCAGAGGCCATAAGGCCTAATCCATAGGTCACAAGTAGCCTTATGCAGCTCATGGCTAAAAGTTAACAAATTATCTTTGCTTTCTGAGTTGGGGCACGTCAGACAAGTGAGATTGTTGTTTTAGCCATAATGAAATATATGATGTGCAGCTACTGACATCACGTGAATGCAGAACATGACTCCACTCTATAGTTCTGACAACGTATAAATGGAGATGTTTAGATGTAAGAGCACCACCAGTAGCTTGTATGACACAAACTTACCTATGTAAGCAAGCTCTAACTTGGAAATGAATTGTGGATATATGTGAAACATGATTTAGCCTTAAAATGACAATTAAGGATGGAGGAGCTGCCACTGCAATAAAATTCTACAACATGGATACTATAGGTTTTTGAGTCATCAATAACAAGAGATGACTCCTCCTGTTGCCACTACAACCACATGTAAACAATTATCAGTGTGAACCTTACTAACTACAAGGTTTAACCACTGTTAAATACAATTAATGGAAAATAACAGCATTTAATTGTTTAAGTGTTATTAATAAAAAGTAATATGAAATTCGTCCATTACTCTCAGACTGTGACATTCTCTTTCTGTTCCAATCTAATTAAAGAAGTTAACAAGACAAAGAACAACCATCACAGACCGAAATACTGTATTCCTCACATAAGGATTTCATTGATAAATCGCCTAAGAAAACTCTGATGTATGCATCATGTCCACAGAAACCCAACTGAAGTTTCAGAGGAACACATTGCCTGCATCTACAAATTCTAAAAAATCAAAGAATAAACCATGCAAGCAACCATCATGAAGCAGCTCACAAGTACAGCTCTGCTTGCTACCTACCTCATGCTGCTTTCTAGCTTGGCTTATTGCTCAACCTGGAAGATGGATGTGACATGTTCAGTCTAAACACCAGCTGACTCCCAACAGACATCATGTTACATCCCAAAAGACAGAACTGTTCATAACCACACCTGCCAGCACCTGAAATCCTACATGTATGCTACTGTTTTGACAAAATGAACCTTAAAAATGTGTACAACATACCCACCTCTTTCTGTTCAGTGTAGTGGTTTCCATTTTAATCTTTAGGAATTTGGAGAGGCGACATAAAGGCAAAACACTTGCAAGAGGAATGTAAGATTAATGTAATATTGTGAAATGTGAGGTAAGACAGCTTCTGTCATCAGAGTTTACACGATTTTCATCTACACAGCAAAGTTCATCACTATGAGGCACAAAACAGACTCAAAATTGAGATATCCATACATGTCCCATCTCTCAATGTAATAAACTGCCACCAGATATGTCTCCTTCCTGAAACACACCATCCTGGATTCATTTAAAAGTTATACAAAATTGTATGCATCACTTACCCTCAGAATTACTGGTCTTTTGGACTTCTTCCATTGCTGGTATTCTATAGATGACATAACATTTTGGAAACTGGATCTGTTTCCAACCTCAGGAGAAGCTAATCTCAATCACTGGACAACCCGTCAAACTTACACAGCTATTTAATCACTCAATACCAGGCTAATTCGGTGGGATATAACCTGGTCTCAAGTGATCAAATTGCTGCGCAAATCTGAGAGGGGTTGTTCAGGGACTGAGATTAGCTCTTTCTGAGGGGTCCAAATGAGTTATTTCTCCCCCCTTTCACCTGAGGACAAAAACAGATCCAGTTTCTGAAACGTTTTTTCTGTTCTCTAGAATACTGGATGATGGAAAAAGCCCAAAAACCCAGTAATTCTGTGTGCTATACACCACTGTCAGAACTCTTTAGAATCACTTACCATGCTCATCTGCACGTGAAGTTTGCTCACGATGGCAGTTAAAACGAAGTCTGATGCTCCTGCAGTATTTATTTGAAAAGATTGTGCAAAAGTGGATAATATACAGGGCTATTAACCCAAATACCCATACTTAAGCTTTCTGAAAGCTATTCATATTTATAAATTCTAGAGATAATCACAGCTGTATGAAACAGTTTACACACATCTTAATTTTTTTTCAGGTAAATTAGTGTTAATTTATTCACTCTTTATCCTGGGCAATATAACTTCACATCATTTAGAAATCAAAAGGAAGCAGCTCTCTGCCACTGCCTACATGGTAAACAAATTACTAAAGCTGTATCATATATTTTGGTGCTGAGATCTTAGGCCTCTAACTCACTGATGGCAATTGGTGCACAGCTCTGTATTATTTCATATGTGCTGCCACTTGACGTTCAAGTAGGAGACACCCTATGAGTAGCAAACACTGCTGCAAAAGATTCTGCATTATGATACAAGGACTGTGAATATGGCAATATCTATTAAGTTATGATGCCACTTTCCTGTGTTGAAGGAACATGTCTTATAACAAAACCTGCTATGAAAAGACAATTCCAACAAATATATTTACACATGAAAATGCTTCATATATATTTTGCAGTTACTGTACTAGCCTGAGATTTGAGCCCTATAAATACACCCTGATCATTTATTGCTAGCACAACAAAATGGATATTGGTATTCTCATGGTCATTTACTGCACACTTTTAATACAGTATGTTTACAACATTAACTACAAAAAAAAAAAATAATATGCTACATAAACCTACATATTAAAATCTCCTGCTGTCTGCATTCATACCAAACAAATGAATTTATTTGGGTCACAATTTCACTTTACAACAACAGGGGCTTATGATCGCAAATATTTCAAAACATACGGTATTACAACCATGGCTTTTAGCATAATGTGTTAGCAGATAAATAGATGGGCAAATTTGTTTATGAAGCAATACAGTGGTTTAGCAGAAAAGATTTATTTTACATCTCCAAGATAACCATCAAATTCAAAATAACCTATGACATTGCTCTAACACAGTGGGTCATGTGAATACTTATTCTCCCACTCCACACAGCACCAGGCAAAAATTTATACCTAAGAAAAATTGCATATACATCTTAAACAGAAGCATAAAAAAATATGGATGCATGAGACAGTTCCACTTACATCTTGCTTCGAAACATCAAATTTATGTGCCTAGCATGTTTTACAATATGATACCCTTTAACATAATGGACTGTTCTGTGCAAAACAGAATGACACTGCATCTCAGCAGTGAACTACAGGAAGAATCACACAGTTGAAATTTCCAAACAAAACCAAGTACAAAATGAGGACGAAAACCGTGATTTTCCAAGTCAATTTTCACAGGACAAGTCATATACATAAAGTAAGAGGAAATCTACACAGGGCTTAATTCAAATCAACCAACATTCTATATCATTGGTGCATATAAATAAATTAAACTTTCCATTAACATCATTGTTGCGGCATAAGAAAATTAATTCCACTTCACATCGCAACAGTAATGCATGGAATGTATTGCATATAACTCGTGATCTACATCATTGTATTTTAACTGCATTTAACTTCAAATCTGAGTGGTGCCATTGTTAATTGAAGAGCACTGGAACAAAGAAGGCCGACCAGTTTATTAATTTTACATTTTTATAATACATAACACAAAGAAATATCTTGCTATTTATGATTTAATAATTATTACTGACAATCTCCCGATGCACTACTGAGTACATGATAAGAAGTCATCATCGTTGTCCGCCGCATAATTTCATTTTCATTCTTCTATTCTCCACAACACCTCAGACAGTCACTGGCTTCCAGCAAGTTTCTTCTGTGGCATATACTTCCCATCAGTCATTCAATCAATCACTTACTGAAAAAAGTCCTCAGTTTCACGTCTCTGTTAGGTTTCTCTCTTTTTGCTGTTACTGTTTCTTTTAGTGGTGAGCCTTATGGTGTACAACAAGCTTTCTTGGCTGCACTGCTCTCATCTGTTGGCTCCACATGGATGGGTTTCATGTTCCCGGACGGTGTGTCTTCATCCGGGCTGTCCGGGATCTGCTTCTGAGACACGATGCGGTAGATTTCTGTCCAACACAACCAATACAATGTAATGCAAACACTTTGCACATTTCTAAGGGACAGTCAAAGAGAAAACATCAAAACCTAGTTACTAACTTAAAGTGTCATACAAAATGTTTGATTCAATGAAAAGTTTTCAACATGTCAGGGCAATTCAAGTTATCAACCTTTAATATTAAAGTGCAGTATTCACAATTTCAGTTATCAGTTCCAGTCATGTAAATAAGAAATATGTTACACAGACTCCATAGTGTAATGATTATGTATGTGAGTATGTGTTGAAATAGGATGATATACTGTTGCCATCTTACATGCATATTAATGGAATTTAAGCATTTAATGCTTTAAAAGTTATTTGCATTGTCACTGTGTCACTTCCATAAATCACAAAAAAAGTAAAATAACTTCAAATCACACAAATTATGTAGTGATCTATAATCCTTTCTGTAATATGCATGAGAGATTAATACTTCAAAGTCCTGGTCCTCCTGGTCTGAATCACTTTGTTTAAAAGTATAAGCAATAGAAACATAGCCTGTCTTTTCTCAATTAAAATAAAATACATTCTTCAATGTCATGATGTCATGAATGTGTTCCCAGAAATGGCAATGTAAATTAGATAACTCTTCCCAAATACTTATATGTTTTAAAGGTGAAATGCATCTGTGCAGTAAAATTACTGGACATGCCAGACTAATTCAACTCACATATCAGAAACAAAAATTACATCAATAATAAAAAGAGAAAAGCAATAATACACACATAAAAATGTAAACAATCAATTATTAATCTTATCATCCGTGTTATAAGTAGCTAAGGACAGAAGCATGAACAGATTTCTTCTTCTTTCCTGATCACACAATCCTTCACTTGTGCTCTTGTTCCATGAATATGTCATCTTCAATGACAATGGTCATCTGCTTCTTGGATGAACCTAAGGATCTGAACATCCTTTGCACTACCAGCTGGTTTTAGTTCACATGTAAGTGCAGGACGCCACTTGTTCCCAATACAAGCCCATCTCATTAACATTAAAACATGTTTCACAGAATACCCATAGTTTCTCAATGTTCATCTTGATTGCACTTGGAAAACTCATTGCTGCAATGTCATTTACACAACCAACCACTGCTCCATCACCACAATGTCAAGTCTTGAAAGAGTGACTTGGCCTTCTGTTTAACCAGAGAACATCTTAAGGTTCCCTTCAGTGATTCATATCCTCCACCCACACCATTAATCTCTCCATGTTTTCCTAAGTATCATTACAACCCTCTGCAATATGCAATACCCACCTGATGTTCACATTTTACAATCAGATCAATCTTCTCACTGTTTTTTATAACTGCCAATATATGTCTCCTCTCTCAGAATGATTCACATTGTCTAACTTAACCTAAAATATAATAGCCCAACAGTACTTCTTAGAAGAATTAATATGATAAAGTGTATTGCCTAACACTGAATGCAGAGGCAAAGATGACAGAATGAGATGATGCTTGTGCCAGTGTTTAGCCTAACATCAGTACGAAAGTGCACTCCAAGCAATAGGAAAAACAAGAAAAGCACTCTATTAAATGTGAAATTGATTGTTTGTATAATTTTTATTTAACACTAATATTAATTCAATTCATAAAAATCTCTTAAAATTTCATAAAACAATATGTTATTACAGTATGGGCATAGACAGTTCCCACTGTTTAAATTATTACAAACTTCTATCTTACCAACGACGGCATTTTTAACAGCACTTTGCAAAACTTTCAAGAGATTGCCATCTTGACCATACTCTGAAGTACCCGATTATAAATGGTGTTATGGAACATAAAAAATAGTCTCTGTTTATTAACAATATATCAAAACATCAAAATTTTAAAAGGCAAATCAAATCAAGGAGGACCTGTAATTTTGGTTTCACTCTAAAAATATAACAGAAAAAGGTTTTCTTAAGTGAAAAATACAGCTCAGAAAGAAACTTATGTACAAAGTAGAAGATTCAATATTGTGATGTATCGACCCACTGCTAGGAAACGGCTCAATAATCACATTCCCATGAAGACTCTTGGCAAACAGTCCATTGCTGGGTAATGCATACAACAATACACAACAAGAGTAAAAGGTATTTTCTATGTGGTCTGCACTGAGATTGTTTGCTAGGCAACTACACGGTAACATGCCTCTACAACAACAGCAGGGCTGTTTTTCTATGCTGCATGGTCCATGTCAAGGAAATATAAAAGATCCAAATTCCGAAGCTAGAAGCTGTAGGAGTGCAACAGAGTTGCAGTCAGCCTGTGAAGACGACCTAATACGTGATTAGACGATTTAGTCAGTGAGGCTGTTTTAATTCCGTTACCAGGATATGACTAGTGAAGACTGGGAACCTAGTGCATACCTGTGAAATGTAAATTGTGTAAATCAGCTACTGTATTGCTTGTAAGTATGACCTGATTGCATAAGGTGTTAATAAATACAATCATCAAATCCAGAACCTGTTATCATCAGTCACGGAACCCCAGATGCATGACAATATTAACTATACTGCCTTATCTCTCCCAATCCTTGCCGCTGTCATTCTCCTACTTTGCTACAAATACATCCTGATACTACAAAACAAAATTGACATAATTCTGTTTCTAGTATGCATATAAATACACAAAGAAGACTCTCTATTATCCATGCTAATGAAGGAGATAATCAGCATAAATAATTCAAAACAGCATACAGTAGCAGCAGTGGTAGTACTGAGTTGGAGCTGTAGACAGTATTTTCGTTTTAACTTGGTTATGAGTACACATGACACTAGTTTTGTGGAAAAATTTGTGCTCTCGTTACATACTTATGGAATTATCCTTCATATCTCTTGAGCAGCTGAATGAGCGAAACATTTTTCAGCATTAAGACTGCTTATCCAGACGCACTTTCATCTCCTTCAGCAGACTAACCTTGTTAGACAGTATGTCATAATCAACTTCAAACTACTATTCACTGCTTTATCAGCATTTTCACAACAATCTGATTACTTACAACACAGCTACTGATTCTGTTGCAAAAATTTCCTTATCAAAACCAAATGACAATCTTGTTCCATGAGCTGTTTTAGGAATTTTCCGTACCATGTCCCATGCCTGTGAGTTCCTGTTTGGCACCACATAGCATAAACTTCTTTCACAACATTTAAGATTGTTACCCTGGCCCACATGCTTTTGGAGACGTGCTGTTCTTTACATTTCTGACACCGGTTTCATGACAAGTTTGTATCACCAATAAATTTCATATTCTGATGAATTATCCTTAAGCACAATGTTGCCAAGCCTCATGTACAATATGCAGCTCTGCCAGTCAAACAGTAACAGCTGTTCACAACTGGTTGCAGAGTAGTGGTCCATAACTAGGGAGTTCTTAACCCTCATGTCTGTCATGGAAGTCACACAAATGTGAATCTGGATGATGTCATATGGTGTTCACTGCTTTTATCTGATTCTACTTCCCCATTCTTTGAAGTCCCAGCTGAGACGACTTGCACACATTTCTTGTGACCGAAGGAGCAAAAATTATTCACTTAAAAAGGTGTCAACAAGGAAGAAGTGCTGTGAAACAAGGACCTACAGAGTAGGAACTAGACAGCAGTTTTGCAAGGGGTTACATATTCCTAAAGCCAATAAAAGAGAAAGTCTGTGGTTGTGCAGCTAGAGCCCAGAGTGCACGCATAAAAATATTAAATGGCTGAAGAGATGAGATGTGCACTATGTAAATAGCCTACACATTTATTAATATCAAAAATCTGATAAGGGATGACTTCAGAGCTTATGGCATATGTAGTATATAAATGTACAGTAGAGGTATGTAACAAGAATACAAGAATATACTGTAATAGGGCTTGAGTAATACGGTAGACTGCCTACCTGAGGTGAGAATTCTATGAACTGGTGAGAAAACATTGATAACAGGCATTTGGATTACCAGATTTCTTTTCAGTTCTTATGATTCTTAATTTGGTGTTAATATGTTGACAACACACCAACTGTATCTTATAACAGCAGCAGAGTAATCTGGCAACGAAGGCATTGAACACTTAAGCACAGTCACAAATAAGGTACTTTTGTTTTCCAAGGCTGGTTACAAAAGAGCATTTCATTTGAAAAGAAGGACCAGACATAATTTTTCAACTCTGTAATGCATGATAAATCACATAAGCTTAAAATCCTCACATCAATAAGTACACTTTCACAATTATCCAAGAAGAGACTAAGGACACATATGAATGTGAATGAGAGACCAGTTTTAACACTTATGCCATCTTTTACAGCTGAAACATACCTACTGAAGAGAGACAAAGAAATAATGGAAGAGGGAAAGAGAGCTAATGATCATGTTGTGTGTCATAGTATAATTCTAGGGGTGCCACAGCAGTCTGAATTCAGACGTGTTTCTACACACCTAGCAGTAATTAAAAATGTGGTAGTAATAGCAAGGAAAAATCTTATTCTGCCATGTTTTGTGGTCTCACAGGCCAGCAATGGTGTTTCTTCATTTAACTGCTGCTGCAATTATATTTCTGATGTTTTACTTATGTTCATAAAATACTGTAATCAGTTTTATTTTTCTATAAAATGTAATGCACACTATAAAAATCATGTAAATGTTATGCATAAACAAGTATAGAGTAACAGTAACAAAGTTTATTCAAACCAGTATGTATGTCCCCACCTTTACAACTCACATGTGGTATGCAATGAAATTCTGAACTATATTTCAGTCTGCTGCCATATGAAAAAGTCTGGGAAATGCTGGTATAATTCACAAAGTGGCACAGAAGTCAATTCAACATGATATTTTTATTTATGTGTTGGTACATTTCAGGAGTCTCTGCATATTATTTTTCTTGTGTTATTTGCTGAACTATCACCACAGATTGGACTGTTTCTAGTAAATGGAATAGGTAAACATGTCCCAAGTGTCAAGAATAGCAGTCCATTACTTCACAATGGTTCTAGTTACTATG